TGCTGTCCTTGAGAGGTTAACTTGCCCAAAACAGTGAAAGAAAAAGCTGTTTTCATGTGAACTTCTGCAGACTCTGAACTTCTGAGCCTCTCCCCTTACATGCTGAGTATAAAACTCTGAAACTACCTGAATTTTGGGTTCAGGGGATTAATTGATTACAGCAAAAGCTGTGCCCTCTGAACCTGGCTGCAGCCAAATATAACTGCTTCCTGCTGTCTTCCGTGCCTTGCTTCATTTGTCCCTACAACAAACAGTACCTGATGCACACTCTCTTACCCATCCTCTCTCCTTAACCCTCAAAGGTAGTTATCATTAACCTAAATAACAGGTTATAGAAAAAAAATAAGTTCAGAAAGAGGTAAATAACTTGTCTAAAGCCACACACCTAGAAAAGAAGGTAGAGGGGCTGGGGATGTGGCTCAAGCGGTAGCACGCTCGCCTGGCATGTGTGCGGCCCGGGTTCGATCCTCAGCACCACATACAAACAAATGTTGTGTCTGCCGATAAACTAAAAAATAAATATTAAAAAAAATCCTCTCTCTCTAAAAAAAAAAAGAAAAGAAGGTAGAACTCAATTTATTTCTGCCCAAAGCTGTGTGACTTTTTTCACTATATAATACTTCTTGGCTGTGGTATTGTGATAGAATAAGAAATATATACCTGGCCTCTGTCCTTGTGCTGACACAGAATCCCTAAAACCCTTATAATTTTCTGAGTGATTGGAATGATATGAGCATTGTTTATTATAATATTTGATCTTGGTCCCCAGTTTCAGAGAGGAACATCTAAGATCCTTAATATCTCTGGAGTGATGATAATATCTTTTTGTATGTTAGCAAAAAGTAATGAGAATTGGCTTTTGGGTAGCCAACAAAGTGTCTGCTATTCCATATCTAAAATTGGAAGAATATCAATCTTGAACAGTTGTGGTAGGTAGATGTCTAAATCAACTGGCATAGAGTAGGTACTCAATATATATTTGCTCTCATTTCATCTGAGCACTCTATGATTATGTTTAGAATTTATGGAAAATTCTGTTTGGGGACAATATGGGATGTCAGCTCTGCTTTGGTATATTAATTCAAAATGTGCCTAGCATATAATAGGCACTTAAGAAAAATTTGTTGAATGAATGAATAAAGGACTACATTTTCACTCTCTTTGCACAAAAGTCTACTTTTGGCTTCATGAAAGGTCTATTTAATTTTTCAACTTAGACTAGCAGGAAGAACACAAAAAGAGTATAATAATAATTTCAAGACAGAAATGTTACCCAATATTTTAACTACCAAGTAGATAAACTTAGTGGTGTTTGTGTGCTCTGTAATGGTAAAATATTTTTACAAGGCTAATTTCAGTTGTTTACTGATTTTCTAGCTGTTTCAGTAAAGTTATCAAACTAAGAATTGTCCAAAAAAAATTTGGTTCTGAAGAGTTCTTGATCTTTTTCTTCAATTGTACAAATACATGTTCTTTAGCAATATGCTCTGGTTTGTATGTGCTGGGAACCCAAACCTCAATATAACAGTGTTGAGAGGTAGGTCTAATAAGAAATGATTAGATTACGAGGGCAGAGCCCTCATGAACAGATTGATGTTGTCACTCGAGGGAGTGGATCAGTAATCTCCAGAGTGAGCTGTTACACATGGGAGTTGGGCATCCTCTTACTTTCTTGCTCTTCCCCTCCTTTGCCCTTCTGCCTTCTACCATGGGATGACTCAGCAAGAAAGCTCTTGTCAGATGCTAGTCCATGTTAGCTTCCAGAACCATAAGCCAATACTTCTCTGTTCATTATAATTACCCAGTCTCCAGGATTCTTTTATAGTAGCAGACAACAGAGTAAGACACAATATTTTAATGGTATAGAAAAGTGTCTCATATGAACTAGATTACAGGCCACCCCAGGACACTCCAAATTTATAGTGGTTTGGCTTACCATTTGTCAACTTTAGGATGATATGAAAGCACACCCACACAACCATTTTGTTTTTTCTCTTTAGTACAGTATTCAATAAATTACATTAAATGGTCAACACTTTATTATTAAATAGGCCTTGTGTTAGAGTATTCTGCCCATCTGTAGACTAATGTAAGTGTTCTGAGTACATTAAGGTAAGCTAGGCTAAGGTATGATGTCTTGTAGATTATGTGTGTTAAATGTATTTTCAACTTCTGATATTTTCAATTTACAGTAGGTTTATCAGGACATATAGCCATCATAAATTGAGGAGTGTCTATAATTGATTTAACTTTTGGTTTCATAAAGCAGATGGGTAACAAACACCACATGTTAACAAAACATCCAAGCTGTACCTTTAAGATGTAGAAGCCTAAGGGCGCACTATGGTAATTCTGTTATTACTGTAGCCCTCTTTACTCCTTATTTTCTCTAAACTCCATTTCTCAAAATATGCTCTCTAGAAGAGTATATTTATAAAATTTAAATAGTTATCAACCAAACACAATGGCACATGCCTGTAACCCCAGCTACTCTGGAGGCCTAGGCAGGAGGATCACAAGTTTGAGGCTAGCCTGGGCAACTTAACAGGACCCTGAAAATAAAATTTTAAAAGGGCTGAGGATGTGGCTGATTGGTAGAGCATTTGCCTAGCATGTGGAAGGCCCTGGGTTTAATCCCCAGCACTGAAAAAAAAAATTAGGTATGAAATAAAAATAAAAAAGGGGTTCTGAAATCCAGTAAAGTTTAGGATGTTCTAAATTAACACAGTTCTTCACTACAGAATTTCTCACTCCTTAGTATGGATCTCCAAAAGTAAGTGCCAATGCAGTGTCTCTCAACTGTCCTTTCATCATGGGCCCTCCCTTCCTCAGGAGCCTGGATGAGGATTTTTCCCCTTCTCCCCACTCCAAACCAGGAAAATATCAAGGACTAAGATTTTGTTGGAGGGTCACAAGCTATTATACCAATATTTTTCCCCCTTAAGAACCATTTCACCCTTTGGGAAGAATCTGACCTCAGCTGAGAATGCACACTTTAACGTGAATCGCTTCTCAAACTCCTTCACCACAGAACTTTTTCAAGTTCACCATTTTTTCCAGAAACATACTTTGTGAAACCCTAATTTAGTCATCAAGGAATATTTTAACACTTCATCATTCTCTTATATCTCAAGGATAGAGTTTCCTCCTTAACATTGAAATTTCCTAGTAGAAAACTACAATAAACCCAGGCATTCCAAGAAATAAAAAAGACTTGGTTAAGAAGCCCTGTCTGCCTCCATGCTGCCTCTGGCCAGCACCCTTAGTTTGTGGGTTTTATATCAGTCAACATTTTTCATAATTGTAGTATAAAATACATAAACCTATAATGTTCTCTAATCTTAAGTGTACAGCTTGATAAATCTTCACAATTGTATACACACCCAGATCAGGATACAGGCATTGAACTCTTGATCAGAGACCTTTTTTTGAAAGTCTTGACCTCCCATCAGATACATTCGGCAGTTTTCAAACTTTGATGATATTTAGTGAAGATTCTATCCAGGGGGGTTATTAAAATCACAGATTCCTGCCCTCAGAGATTCTGACTCAGGTCTGGAGTGGGAACTGGGGTTTCTAATAAAAACTCCCAGGTGACTCTGATGCAAGTGGTCTGTGGATCACAATTCAGAGAAACATCAGCCTGCCCTATAGGATAAAAGTCAAAGTCCTTAACAAGGCATTAAGGCCTTCCCTAATTTGACCCAATCTCATTTTCCCAGACTCACTGGCCGGTTTTCACCATGCAGAATTACTTATCTCTCCTCAACAGGTCATGCATGTATGTTTTCCTTAGCCTGGAATATCTTTCCAGTCTTCTTTACAGGAAGACTCCTTCTTATCCTTCAAGACCCAGTTACACTGTCACTTCCTCTGGTAAGTCTTCTGAACCTCATCAGCCAGAATTAGTTGCCTCCTCATTGTTGATCCAGAACTTTATTAAAATTGTTGTAGTTGTTATCACAATATTGATTTTAAAATCTCCTTGTTTAAAAATAAGAAGGAGTATATTGGTTCTCTGCTAGACATCTAACACAGGGGGGCAGCACACTGTGGTGAATGAATGAATGGTGGATGTTATTGATTCCCACCTGAAGTCACTTAGTTCTCATTTCCTGTCCCACAAGGCTGCAAGCTCTCTAACAGAAGAGATTTCTTCTTCACTTTTTTGTTTTCCAGTCTCATCCCAGGGATTCAGCTGCCAGTGAAAAAATACCTAACGGGTGACCATAACACTTTCACTTGCCCCAATTTAGTGAGTACCTCAGTGCCTCCTAGGCTCTCCCCACACTGGTGGAAGGAGGCAGGAGCTGAATGTTAAGTGTTGGGGGAAGAAGTCATCCCCATCTGCCAGATAAGAATGCTATGTAAGACTGAAAGTGCAGAACTGGGCCTCCAACACCAGGTTCCTGGCTTTCGCTGACCTTTCCCTCCATAGAACACTGTTGCCATGGAGATGACCATTACCCTAAGGGGCACAGTTGGGTGAGGCCTCTAGAAAGGTCTCTCAGGAAAGCAACAGTGCATGGAGACCCTTGGCCCCCTTGTCAACTTCCTCGTCTATTTACTTGCCTATTTCTTTGTCTACTCATGTTTGTATTTGTTGGTTTATTTTTTTAGCATTTTTATAGACGACTAGGCATCTAGACAAAAGCCGCTATGGGAAGCCCTACCCACAGCCCAAGGTGAGCTCTTGAGACCACTGATCATGAAGGTACCAAGGGCATTTTTGGTACCGGGTCTTGGAGGGAAGGGGGCGGTCCTGGTTGGAAGGGGCGGGGCGATGCTGCAGCCTTCAACTCTGGCCCTGCGTGGTGCCCCCCGCACTTCCCACCTGGCCTGGACTGCGCAGGCGCTGGGGTTGCCCTCGCCTGGACCGTTGCGCTGGCCGGCTTGCGCGGAAGTTGGTCACGCCTCGCGTTTGCGGGTGGCCTAGGAGGGAGTGCGTCTGGACGTGAGGGAGTCTGACTGAGGACATTGTGTGCCTGGACAGCGAGGCCATGTGTGACACCCACGGTTCCCGAGCCCTGCAGGCGAGTAGTGCGGGCCAGGGTTGGGGCAGGCCATGGGCGGCGGCGTCGCCCGAGGAGTACAGCTTCGAATACGGCTCTCCGCGGTACCTGCTGCTCTGCGGTCTGGGCGGGATGCTGAGCTGCGGGCTGACACACCTGGCCATCGTGCCCCTGGACCTGGTCAAGTGCCGCATGCAAGTGGACCCCGACAAGTACAAGGGCATCTTCAGCGGCTTCGGCGTGACAGTGCGCGAGGAGGGGCTGCGCGGCCTGGCCCGTGGCTGGGCCCCGACCTTCATAGGCTACTCCCTGCAGGGCTTCTTCAAGTTCGGCCTTTACGAGGTCTTCAAGATTCACTACAAGAAGCTCCTGGGCGAGGAGAAGGCCTATACGTGGAGGACCACCTTGTACCTGGCCGCCTCGGCCAGCGCCGAGTTCTTCGCCGACGTGGCCCTGGCGCCCATGGAGGCGGTCAAGGTCCGCGTGCAGACGCAGCCAGACTACGCCCGCACCCTGCGTGAAGCCGTCCCCAAGATGTATGCCGAGGAGGGCCTGTGGGCCTTCTACAAGGGCGTGGCACCGCTGTGGATGCGGCAGATCCCCTACACCATGATGAAGTTCGCCTGCTTCGAGCGCACGGTGGAGGCGCTGTACAAATACGTGGTGCCCAAGCCGCAGTGCGAGTGTACCAAGGCCGAGCAGCTCGGCGTCACCTTCGTGGCAGGCTACATCGCCGGTGTCTTCTGCGCGATCGTGTCCCACCCCGCCGATTCCGTGGTGTCCGTGCTGAACAAGGAGAAGGGCAGCACGGCCCTGGAGGTGCTCCGCAGACTGGGGCCCCTGGGCGTCTGGAAGGGCCTGTTCGCTCGCATCATCATGATCGGCACCCTGACGGCCCTGCAGTGGTTCATCTACGACTCGGTCAAAGTGTATCTCAACCTGCCGCGCCCTCCCATTGCTGAAGAGCCAGCGTCCCTGAAGAAGCACAAATAGGCATGGATTTGTGAACTACTGTAGCTACCCAGGGTCCAGGTTCCCACCAAGTCTGGGATCGCCTGTTGGGGTGTTAAAGGTTAACGTGTTCAGGAGAGGTGACCGAAGACCCAGTCTGAATTCTCTTCAAAGGACTGGTTTCTTCTTTTTGGCAGTTCCAGAGGATTGCAAACGTTTCATTTGAGGGTTTGAATCGTTATCTTTGGGTAGTTGGCATGGTTAATTTTATTTGATAGCTTTACAATAAATAAAAGGAAAAAATTCCTAACAGGAAGTAATGTTAGGTCATTTAACATTTATAGGTCCTATCTCCTTTGATTCACATTTCTGTGGAGATTATCCAGGCATATCGGTTGCATAGGCTGCAAATGAGGTTTCGAGGTCAGCACAACTATATGAGATGGGAACAAAGGGAAGTTCTGGTACATGATATTTAGCTCAGTAGAAGTCGTGCACCTATTGAATAGATGAAGGACTCATTGAATATTTCTTGTTCATTCCCATACAGGTAAAAATTATTAAAAGTTAAATGGTGCCTTATATTGTTTGATAGCTTAGAATGTATTCACTGTTTTCAGAGACATAAGAAGGTCTGCATTTTCTCATTTTGCTTTGTCCCTTCTCTTCATGATGTTGCTGATTAGAACCTAGCTCTCTCCAGGAAGCGCTAAAATTGGATCAATGTGGAAAGCCAAAATGAGATGAAGGGCAGGCTCTGGGAATAAATATGTAAAGAAAAGCCTCTGTTCTCCAAAGATTTCTTTTGTATAACTCAGCTTTCAACAGCCATGCATCCAAAGAAGACCATACCATCCTGGCATTAAAACAAAACCAACGCCAAAACAAAACCCTTGCAAATTCCGACGACTTTTGTTGAATATTAAAGAATGGTTTTGATGGCTTTGGAAGGAAAATCTCACTTTAAATGTTATAAGTACTGTTCATTTAATTTGGTAGATATTTCTGTGATCTTTACAATGGTTGAGGTTCATAAAATATTGAAGTTATAAAACACATTTTCAGTTCCCTATAGCCTTCACATCTCTGAAACGGGAAATTATCAAATCAGTGAAAGTCATGAATTAGAGATGTTTATAAAATGTGAATAAGAAATAAACTTCAACATGATATTTTAGATAACTTACCAAAGTATTGCATGATTGCCTTACCAACTTTGTATTAAATTAGATTTCAAATTTAGAATATGTTAATGTTTTAACTTTGTAAAACTGTTCTGTGGTTAAAAGAAGTTTGAAAGTGTCTAGAACTAAATATGTATGAACTGTTCTGATTGGATAATAAAGAAGTTGGAAGAAAATTCCAGAGCTTGTGAATGAGATGGAATGAAGCATATTTGTATTCAGTGCTTCTATTTTGCTTTTTATTGACAAGGATCATTATCTATTGTTAACAAACTTCAGCTTGCCTTAGGAGGTTAGTGTGCAAGTTTGTTGAAAAGAAAAGTTCTCAGCAAAGGAGAATGATAAATTTAGTGGAACTGAGTTTTGTAGATTCATTTTTACAAAAATTAAAAACATACATTTCTGTCTAGTGTTTTATAAAATATTTGTCAGAAGTTTCTTTGGCCAACAATTTATTACTTTTTATCAGTAATATAATTTAGGAAATACTGGCAAAGCTGTGAATTTTAGGGTAATGAGAGGCCACTTGTCTGGTCTTCGATATTTCATGATTGTTCACAAGATAATTTTGATAGCATACATAGTATATTGTTTTTGTCAACTTTTGTGTTGCTGTGACCAAACAGCCTGACAAGAGCAACCTAGAGGAAGAAAAGTTATTTTGGCTCATGGTTTCAGTTTTAGATTCAGCCCATGGTAAGCTGACTCCATAGTTCTGGGCCTGAAGTGAAGCAGAACATCATGGTGTAAGGTTCTAGTGGAGGGAAGTAGCTCAGGACATGGCAACCAGGAAGCAGAGAGAGAGAGATCTCCACTCACCATGGAATAAATATAAACCCCAAGGCACACCCCCAATGACCTATTTCTACCCACACCCTACTGGCCTACAGTTACCACCCAGTTAATCCACATCATTGGATAAATCCACTGGTTAGGTTAATGCTCTGAACATTTTTTTTGAACATTTTTTGTATATTCTTGTACATGAGCTTTTGGGGGATACCTCATGTCCAAATCATATTGTGTATGTTTAGAGAAGTACACGCTAAGGGGACCATGTGGCATGATTCTGGCTGTCATGAATATGGTCAAGATGATTGTTTACTTAATTTGATCAGCAATTTTATTTATTTATTTATTAATGGTACTCAGGATTAAATCCAAGAACTTAAGCAAGATCTTACGTATGCTAGGCAGTGCTCTACCACTGAGCTACAACCACAGCTCAGCAATTTTTATATTTATCCATATATTTCTATTCACATTTCTTTAAATTGGTGGAGTATCTTATTTAAACAAGTTCCTGAATAGCTGACAGTAAAGAATAAAGGCAATTTAAGTTAGATAATATGAATTCAAAATTAATAAGGATTTTTTCCTTAGTTATTATTTCTTTGAGACAATTTAAATTTCTGATAAATGTTTTACATTTGTATATGGGAGACCAGAACATGCTGAAGACAATTAAGGAGCAGCAGATGCAGAAAGCTCTTTGCCTTTCCTGAATTTACTGAAAAGCGAAACAGATTTATAAAAACACAGGTATCCTGCCCCACTTTCCACCAGAGAGAACAAAAGTTAACCAGCAAAGGCAACTTGAGATCCGTATTGGCCTGGAGATGGTACCATAGCATCTATATTAGCAAGTTTTATGAAAGAGTCTTTATATGCTATTTTTTTGCCTTCTCCCACAGTGCCTCACCTAAAGACACCCAAAGTCCTTTTCCTAACTTTTCTCTAAAAATTTACCATTCTTTTAAAAGATGATATACAAGCTGGAATTCAGTGTTGCCTTTTTGAGAACTAGTCATTTTCTGTGTGATTCCCAGGTATATATAGGTTAACAAACTTCTGTTTTTTTCTTGTGTTAATCTGTCTTTTGTAACCAGTTTCTTTCAACTAAGAGCCTATGGGGGTCATTCTTCTGCTACCCCTGTAATCTATGAAATCATGCATATCTGTTAGAATTATAAAAGTCATAATATACCTCTGGTATTATTAGGCATTTTATATTCATTTTCTCAAATAATCTCAATTCTTGAAGTCGTTCATTTTATATATGAAAGAGACTCAGAAGCTAGGTAACTTGCTTATCAGAGTCATGGCTAATAAGTGATAGAATCTAGATCAAAGCCCACATTTTCTTTATTACTCCGGTCTAACACACTGTTATGACCAATGTCTATCCTTTTGATAGTTTTTCTCTCATCTCCTCCTCCTTTCCTCCTTTTCCTTCTCCTCCTTCTTCTTTCTCTCTCTTTCTTTCACTCTTTTTTTGGTGGTTGTACTAGGAATTGAACCCAGGGGTACTTTATCACAAAGGCAAATCCCAGCCCTCTCACTAAAAAATTTGCCTGGCTAGCCTCAAACTTGTGATTCTTCTACCTCATCCTCCTGAGTAGTTGGGATTAAAGGCATGGTATAAGTTTTTTTTTTTTTTTTTTTAATAGTACTTCAAAATTATTTCTAAGGGCTGGATGTGTAGCTCTGTGGTAGAGACCTTGTGTATTATGTACAAGGCCCTATATTTGATGCCCAGCAAAACATACACACACACACAGATTTAATATTTGTATAAACTAGAAATGTCCTTAATATTGTACCAATGCAAAGTTTTTAATGTGACTCAATTATGGAAAACCTATGACAAAATTGCTTAAAAGTAGTCAAACTGCAAAATATTTAGTAATGTAATATTTAAGTCATTTTTCACTCTAGGTCAGTGGCTCAATCCTAACTTGAAGGAACTGATGATAACCAGTGTGTTTGATTTGTATGTGTGCGGTGTGTGGTATTGCAGTTTCAACAAGAGGCTTTATTCTATCCCATTTTCTATTTCTTCCCTCTAATCTTTAGTTCCTACAGCCAAGGAAGCTGGCTTAGGCCTATTTATCTTCCCCCCCAGGTGGTGATTAAAGTTGCTGTCTCAAGTATATGAAATTAATTTCATGATAGAGAGCTGTAATCTCATCCACTGATCTCTCCTTTGAGAAGTGAATAAAGGGAGTAGGCAAAATCTTGAAAAACAAAGGCCATATTTACATGTTAATACCACATGATAGAGATCAGAAAGAATCAAGGTATTAATGTTATGAGTAATTTTTCCTTGCCACACAAGTGTGTCTTTAGAAAATAAGTCTTTTGAACTTTTCAAAGGCAAGAATAATCACTGAAGTCAGAAGATTACATTTTGACAGGCAGCCATTCAAGTACAGTATGCTTGTTTTTCAAGGCCTTGAAGATCATTTATTTTAAAAATTATGAGCAAAGAACTGTTTGCAAGGAAATTTAAATTTTAATTTCACTTGGAAGACTGTCTCATTTTCCTGAGACTCTGTCTCATTTTCCTACCATTTGGGTCTGTGGGTGAATAGGGAGGTATTAAGGTGACTGTGACTACGTTTGTATGTAGGCATGTAATTGTTTTGGTTAGCATATTTTGAGGATTTCCAAGGTTTTGAATTTTTGGTGGCATGTTGGTTAATTCTGTCCATGTCCCTAGCCTATAATTTTACTGATCAACATCCACCACGTGCCAAGCATTGTGCTAGGCAGAAGGGATTCTGTGATGAACATATTACATGGACTTTACTTTGTAGAGCTTACAGTCTAGTAGGAAAATTGTGCAAAGTGCTGCAAAGGAGCATAAGGTGGTGTAAGACTGTAGATCTACATAATGTTTAAGATGAGACCTAGAGGATAAGGAGGAATTAGACTGGCAAAGAGAAAGCACAGGTCAGGGGCACACTTGCCCTGAGGAAAGACAAAGCCTGGTGTGTTTTTGTTTTGTTTTTGGCACTAAAGATTGAATCCAGGGGCATTAACCACCGAGCCACATCCCAGCCTTTTTTATATTTT